TCTATTCTATCAAGGGAATATCCCTTGATAGAAGAGAAAAAATTAAGGGGAAAGAAATTCGTTTTTCTATTCTATCAAGGGAATATCCGGCAGTATATATCCTTCAAAATATGGGTAAATAAAGCGCATCCTCAATCTCTCCCCACACAACTATATGTCCCGATGAGAACCGTCAATAAGTATATCAGCTCTCAACGGCTCATAAGTCAGCACAAAGACGAATTTATTTCCATTAAGCATTAAGAACATAAAACGAATCAGGTAACGGCGGCTTCGAACCCGGAACTGCAGCATGAAAGTAATACCGTATAAGGCATACTGACCCACTGCTACAATGAACTGATGCTTCAAATGTAGCACACCCTGAAGATAGGACGCCTCCCCTCTCAAAACCAACAAAAGAAGACCCGAATTAACCAGAGCTCAGGACAGGAATAGGTTGCAGTTCATACTCCTGTCTGAAGCTGGGATCTTCTTTGCTTTTAGCCATACAGTTTTTGGTCTTCAGAAACTTACTTATTCACAGGGTCAGCGCTCACTCCCAGCAACGCTCTCGCCAATGAAGGCATTGGCACCAACAAAAGGATTTATGCCGCCCCGCAGGATGAACTAAAAGCTCAAGAATTATGAGTTAATAGCTCACTCATTTCAGAGATAACGAAAACAACTTAAATTCCATCTAGAGTCATGGTTTAGGACGCAACACACTTTAAAAGCTAATTTTAGACTATTTAATTCAAACTGGGTGGCGAATAAACTCTCAGAATTACAAGCCCGCAACTTTTCCCTTTATCAAGTCAATGAACTCGGACTGAAAGTATATATGTTAGTAAAAGTCAAGACAGAAAATGATCTGAAAGATCCCTTCACCTTTGTAACTCCATCGACAGAGTGGAACTATATTTCCAGATTTTAGTCTGATTTTTGTAGTTTTCGGACTAAGGAAGTGCACAAGCAGACACATATATACAGACAAAACATCGCTAAAATATAGTTAAAGTTGCAAAAATGCAACAAAAAACAACGCAGAGCTCAAATTTTGTACCCCATGTGAGTAAGTGCATCGCAAACCCACTGCGGGACCGTGCCATCCGGAAACTGCTCCAATAAAAACTCACTTAAAAAGTGCTGAACTTGTTTTGCCTGTATCGCAGTGCGTACCCGGCGCATTAGATCCATGTGGTGTTGCAGATTGTGCACTGATATGATATGGCATGCTACAGTTTCCTGAAAAATGTTTGCACTCGTGACACACATATGCACAAACACGCTTCAGATGTACAAGCAAGAATGACGAATGCTCGAAAGACGAATACCTGATTCAATATGGAGTGGATATATGCCCGAGTGTAAGTCTTACAGGAATGACAGCCGCAACATTCGTCAATGGGTCGGAAATCCTCTTCGAACTCTTTTCGACTCAGATGTAGCATGCCACCGTGCCGTACGATCGCTGTGCCAAACCTTCAACATTATCATCAGCACAAAATTGGTCTGACAAACGTACCGAATAAAACACCTTCCAGATGCCAAGACAGAAAGCAATAATAACCTTGCAGTACGTGTTGGATAGACGCAGTCGAACATGTCAGCGCCCAGCAATGAACAAATTACCAGGTCGATAGGCCATCCAACGCCCATAACATATCGAGGTAAATGTCCCGGTAAATTATCGCAACAGCAAGCAACAATCCGCCAGAAAGCATTCTTATCCTCTCCTGTGAACCAGATAAGTACATTTCGCTTTCCTCTACACACAGCGCTTTTCAGTGCCAAGAAGTCAGAAGTATTGTTGTAAAGGTGCTTCACCTACCACCGCTTAGGCCACCAATCGCAATGCCCGACTCCGTTAACTGGGCCATTGCCACAGCACATTTCTTGCGAAGCGAAGTGTCCAAGCCACCTTGTACAATTGGGAACAAAGTTTGGTCGGCTCGAGTATGTGCCGCCCGACAACGCATCAGCCACCTGAAAGTGAACGTTTCGGGTTCGACGGTGGGACGTTATGCTTTCTGATGGAAACACACCTGATCGAGCGTTCCATCGCGTCTTCGACGACCGGCCCCTCGGTAAGCACGTGTACCACGTGATCCAACTGCATCGCAATATCAGCGCCCAAATTCTCCTGCAACAAACCAGTGATGCAGTGCTCAAGAAGTGAAACATTTCGAGAATCATATGGGCCTGCTGTTATATCGTTTCATTTCGAAAGACAAACTGAGATCTTTTGCTTTAAACGCTGTCTCATCCCTCAATCCCGGATAACGCCCAGCGTTAAATTCCCGAACCACTCATTATTCGCTTTTTTTCAAAACACGATTTTACATTTGCCATACAATTATCATACTTTTTTATCTATATTTTGTGCCAATTTAAGGGGGTTTCGCGTGCCTCTGGCGAAATCTCGCAGCTATTCCACCAAAATATTTGTCCTCCAACCCAATTTCCCGCACTTATACGGATGGAAAATTTCGACTTTTCGCTGCCCTGCAAATGCGACTGCTGTAAATTTCTAACTTATCAATTTCCCGTAACTAATAAAACTCGGCTCAGCTCAGCCAAGTCAGAGGGCGTGTCGCAATGACTAAGGGTGGTGGCGGAGTACAGGGCTGGAGCTCGGGAAGAGTGGTTAGGTCTCGAGCGTCGTAACGGAGGGAAAGTGAGCGGGGTTAGAAAGCAGCTAAGATCTAGCTTCGTGGAAGGAACTGGAAACACTGAGCGGGGTTTACGAAGGAAAGGACCTGTACGGGACTTTCATGCCCAGCATGAAACTTAATGCTGCGGAGGGCGATGTGAGCAATGTTGAGCGTAACGCCTGGAACATCATGCAGACAAAAGACCGCATCACGATTTTCCGACTGCACATTAGCGGCTGAGCTGAGTCGAGTTCCAACAGTTGCCTCAATCTCCCCCTCCAGTCCCAGTCACTTCTTGCAAAATCTTTTTGGCTGCTACCGTCCACTGACAAAGGCGCTGCTCTCTTACTTCAATTCGACGGGAATGTTGTGCTGCAGGGACACAACTAGTTTTGCTACGCGAAGAACGTGATTCTCTGGGCGATCGCTTAGAAATGTGGGCACTTTGGCCGAGTTACACGCCGTAACACCTTGAAAGGCACTGGAAAGCTTGCCTGTATCCGAATGCTCGCCTCAGGAGTTAAGAGAGTTTCTTCGCCGGTGTGCGGACTCTTAAAAGTAACCCCTTCCTCATCCACATCCATCAACTCGTTCAACGAAACCATCTGCAACAAGTAGCTCCCGTTGGCATTTCAATAAAGGCAGCACTCTCAAGAGGTTGGCAAATGCTTCGCGGTAATACAGCGATCAAAGGAGTACCTGGAAGCCTCCGGAATCCGTGAGGATTGCAAACGGCCAATTAATGAACGAATGCAAACCGCCAGCCCTGCGAACGACTTGATGGCCAGGCCTGTGACCCAGATGATACGTATTGCAAAGCAACAAGCGGCAACCCAGTTCCGCGAGTTGCTCGGGCAACAGCCCCTTCATCGTCCCCTGCGTCCCAACTGGCATAAACACCGGCGTATCCACCGAGCCATGCGGCAACCTTCAAATATCTCCTAAATCCATCGGCACTTCCCAGGCCCCCCGAAAACTCTGGCACAACACCATCCTGTCCAGCCACCCAGCTTTGTCTTTGAAGCACAGAAATATGAAAATCCAGAAGCGCTTGCCCCTCACCTGGTCAGTGAATAGCATGGGATGCGCGTATGCTTGCTGCTGCTGCTTCCAAGCTTATGTGTGGAAATGTCAGTAAAGCAATGAAAAGTGAGTATAGAATGCAGTGCACGAGAAGAGGAGCGATGCCGGAGCAGCACGGCAACAGGTCCAGCCCCAAATCACAGAATGGCACAAGCTCACCATGCCCTCCCAACTTGTCAGTTCAATCAAACCAAGCAACCTGAGCTGCCCCGAACGAGCCGATCGCGCTCTCGCCAGAATCCTGAATTCGAATGCCATTTCTCAGACTGGATCAGTTACTGCAGAACCAACGTCTTGTCCTGCAACTGCGTAACAACTGAGCTACAGCTTGTAAATCATGTAAAAGCCGTTTTGCGGTGTAGCAAAAGCGCGGATTTACAGGAGCACAGATATCGGGGAGCTGCTACAGCACAGTGGCAGAGATCGTCTCGTCAATCAGTTTATTGTTTAAAAAAAGCCGCTACAGTAGCATAAGTGTGCATATACCGTGCGCAAATTAAGGAGTAATGAATATTCTCTACTGCAGAACTGTTCATTCACAATGAAGAACAACTTTTGAGCAGCTACCAGAAACGACCAAATACTAAAGAGGAGCAGCAAATTAAAATGAATAAAAACCACATGCTAAGAACAACAGTGGGAAAACATACTTTACAGTACACAACTCAAAGTGCCGCTGTTCTTGTCAACGACTATTTCTAACCCACAAACATACACACACACACACGCATACACGAATGCACCACACACGCACAGTCCTCTATACACACGCTCGCACGTCCACACACACACCCACTTACATACGCACACACACTCACTCACACATACACACACACATATAGACGCACATCCACAAAGACATGCACACAGATAAATATATACATACACACACAACAACCGGAATATACTTCTACCGGGTACTGAAACGGACTGTGCCGACTGGGTTGTAATCACAGTGCTCAAAAGACTAGGGATTTTGTAAACAAAAACACTGACCGAAGAATGCAATTATGAACAGTGGGAGTTTGCCTTACAAGAACTGCGCAGCAAGGTGCGCAACGCACTAGGAAGCAGAAGAGAAAACAAGAACTCTCAATACATTTGAAGGATAAATCACCCGGGATTTACATGACTACTAGAGTTGACAGGTGTATAAATGACACAGTGACGCTCAAAGAAACAAATCAACGGTAAGTACAAATCCAGAGAATATAAAAATAGTAAAGGTGGCTCATCAAAAGAACCCAATGCTCCTCAGCAAATAACCGTACGTGAATCACGGGTTTGCGACTGGTTCCAACGCCGTGTTCGGGTCACACACTTCCAGAATAGCACGGCCCTCCACTTCAGACATGCTCAGCTGCTTCAGTACCTGCAAAACTCCACTACTGCTTGCCAAGCAAAATGCACTTTATTAAAGACGCAGTCACACCCACATTTTCATCCGGAAAATTTTTACCAGAATACTACATTTAAGGCTGCACACAGAAACAGACCTGGGATGCTTGATTGACCGGATACACTCTATAATCTGGCGCATCAATTTGTCCTCCAGCGATAAGACAAACAAGATTCTTGAGTTGTTCAATGGAACCACGCGTAACTCCCATGATTGCAAGACGATTACGAGCAACCAGCTTGATTGGAAGCTGGACATCCAGACCTGACAGTCCGCCAACAAACAATACTCCACCCTAAAAAGCAAACACATAAGCCAACACCGAACACCCATCCTCACCTCCCACCATATGACAAAAAAAAGATGTTAGCTAAAAACTTCCATATAACCAAAACAAATGCATAATAGAAAGGAAACGCTGCCCTCCAAAAAATCGTATATTTCCAAAAGAGAGACTCGAGAAATGAGCTTCTCCTGTCAAAAATACACACAATTCTTCACCAGTTTTTTCTTCCACGTCATTTTTTCAAAACGCAATTTATGCGTCTAATATGGAAGGCCTTAATGAGGACATAATTCTTTTTGGCAACTCTGTGAGATGACTACGGTGGACTGTCCCATCAGTTCATAATATCAAGTTTTCGAGCTGAACGACTGGATCAGATCGTAAATCGTAGACAGACAAAAGAGAAAGTGGGAGGATACAGGGAAGCGGAGGGAAAGGAGAGGGGGAGATGAGGGGAAGGCACAGGAAGAAAGTAAGGGAGAGGAACGAAGCAAGAATTTTTGATATTGCGCCAAAAAAAGGCCTTGTTTTCAAGTTCTGAACAATCAGCGAGGCGAGTACGAAATTATGTGAAAATCTTCCACGGAATTTAGAAATATTATTTGTTAATTTCATTTCCTCTTAGCACTGTATATCCTACACGGCAAATCTGTGGAACAGAGGAGCCGAAGCCGAACAGTTCGGCGGTCTTTTATAAGAAAAATTGAAAAATTCCAACGGTTGGTGAGGGACACCGTGAGCCCCATCTCTTTAAAACATTTTGCTCGCATCCTTGAATTACAAAGCTAACCCTGCGATTTGCAAAAATCTTCCTACAGTTTGTTAAAATCAGCCTGCAAACCGTGGAAAAAGAGCATGTGGATAATTAGGACAGGGAGAGGGGGGAAAAAAACCATCAAATGAAGAAAACTATTTCCCTTGTATTTAATAAGAAACGGCAGGTACTCAGCAACAACGCCATACATGAGAGGGGTAATAAGAGGAGAAGCGCAGTTGCAATGGTCAAAATAGAAAATTTGAGGAGATGAATGTGCCTCGGAACAGTACCTCGGCAAGGCACTTCAGCGAACGAGTGACAGTGCGTGGTGAGGTGACGAAGTCGAATACAACCTGAACACCAGTGCGTGCCACATCCTTCGTTCTCATAATGAGGTATTCCTCGAATTCTAAACACAGCAAATATGCACTAAATAAGAAAAATTTAATCATAATATGTGGTCAAAAAAATCTGTCTTGGAAAAAAACATGGATCTACCGGAATCATCCCAATGGACCACAAAGTCCGCTCCATTACGCTCGGCAAGACAAAGACGTTCTTCACGAGCGTCTGCAACCATAATCTGAAGCAAATCAAGGTGCTCACGGAAAGACACTGAAACAACACAGTTTTAGCTAGCTAAAAAAATGCATGCTACAAAAAATATTACAAGTGTCTCCATTCTCGTAAGTACCCATACTTTTGCAGTCCAGTGGAGTCACTAAATTCCGGCAAAACCAAACATGAGCCGGCGCATGTCTATTGCATTTTTAGTTCTTAACACGTGACTTGAAAACCTTGATTTTTCGTTCCTGATGACCCGAAAGAAAATGCTTTGCCAGTTTGAGTAACCAAAGGCCGAGGCCGCCTGCACCAACAATCAGAATGTTGCAGAATCCTTTTGACTGCGAGAATGCTTCAACAATGGGGCGCGCCTGCAAAAACGCGATACTGCATATGAAACTATAAAAAAGTGACTGACAAGAAGCTTTCCCAGTTAAGAAGCAGTTCTCATTCTAAAACAAATGAAACTACTAACGACTTCAGTCATTGCAACTTCACTACTTTTCTTATCGTAGTATGCCTCTAAAAACTGTTCTGCCTGAAAAATACTTGACAGTAAGCGACCGACAGCTCAAAACATAAATCAGCAGTTTTTGCATCACCACAAATTCAACGCACAGTTACTACGGTCAGTTTATTTATTCGCCCACACCTGACCCCGCCCTGGTAAAAACTGGACAAGGTCTAAAGTGAACCTGCCTCTGTTCAAACATTAAAACAACTTAAAATGGACGAACCGTACGTGTAAGCGAGATAACATTTCGAATTCTGTACATCGAAAATGTGTGAATCCGCAACCTACTGGATTACTCCGGAAAAAGTAAGGTCACCTGGATGACTGCGGAAAGAGCCCAAGTAGCACCAGCAGGAAGGATGGATGCAACATGCATCGAGAGAGTTTCCGGAATCTTGATCAGGAACTGCAGTGTGGGCACCGTGACGTAGTCCGCATAGCCGCGCTGGCACATTTCATCTGTAGGCCACACAATCACCTAAAATCTATTGACTTTGAAAACACATCCCATCCCACAACCGTGGGACCTAAATTGGCTCATCCATCCTCATCTTCCTGGAATTAAACTCACAACGATACTGGAGCAGTACAAACAAAAGCTATTCCCGACCCAAACCACGACAGATACCCCTAAGTTGTTCCTCTTGCATTTATTATAAAATGAAAGAAATCTCCCAGCTAACGATTTGACAGAAACTGAGAATAAAAAAAGTGACAATATGCTCGTCACTTTTCCTTATACAGACTGATGAATTCAATAAATGGCAACGCGCACCAGACTAGCCGGTGCGATCTTGCGTTTTGTGCAATTCGGCCCATCGAACGATTGCCTGTTAATGATTTTCACTTCCTTGTACTTTAGTCTATGCAAAAATAGTTACCCATCGAACGATTGCCTATTAATGATTTTCACTGCTTTGTACTTTAGTCTATGCAAAAATAGTTCTAACATTGAAAAACAGTTAAAAATTTCACGCACCAGCGTATGAAAGCTGATTTCGAAACCTTGAAGGAGTAATTGGAAAATAGTTAAAAGTCACGCACCAGCATGAAAGCTGAATTCGAAACCTTGAAGGATGATTATCTTTCAGTGATTCCCGAGTTAATAGTTTAT